GAGAGAGAGAGAGAGAGAGAGAGAGAGAGAGAGAGAGAGAGAGAGAGAGAGAGAGAGAGAGAGAGAGAGAGAGAGAGAGAGAGAGAGAGAGCAGAGCTCGATCTAAGTTCAGTATCTTCCAAGGATAGTTGAAAGTTTCTCTACACTGGCTTTCTGATCATGACAGCAAGGCACATGGTGTTGAGACAGAGTACAGAAGCACAGTATGCTCCTAGCGTCTTCACTGGAATAGAACGCCCGGTCATTATGGCTGCATTCAGACGGAAAGTTGGACCAAATACACCTCTAACGAACTGGGCATTCTATGTGATCGACGACGGTAGGGTACTCGAGCGTGAGTCGGCTTTCCTTCTGGCATGCCAGCCCAGCAACCTGCCATGTGTGCCATCATCCCTGACACCCTCCCGTTCGTCCATGCCCCAAATGTAATCCGGGACTTATTCCCTTTGCACCTGTACTCTAACCTTCTCCATCCTCTCCTCGAGGGTTCGAACTCAGGTCTGCTTATTACCAGTATCATGCCTTTACCATTCTAAGGCCTGGTCCAAACCTAATAAGCGCTAAGGAGAAGGGCTTATCAACACAACCAACTTGAGTTCCAGAACAGAACCTGAGTTCGAACCCCTCTAAGGCCTGGTCCTAACCTAAGTGGGTTCGAACTTAGGTTAGGACCTTAGGTTAGGACCTTAGGTTAGGACCTTAGGTTAGGACCAGGCCTTAGAGGGTTCGAACTCAGGTCTGTATCATGTCTTTCCCATTCTAAGGCCTGGTCGAAACCTAATAAGCGCTAAGGAAAAGGACTTGTCAACACCACCAACCTGAGTTCGAAAACAGAACCTGAGTTGGAACATAAGCCACCTGCAGTGCAACGTGCTGAAAGGTGCTGAGAGGGGTTCGAACTCAGGTTCTGTGTATCACCAGTACGTGGCAAGCAGTGAGGGTTGCTCAGGTTCGAACTCAGGTTCTGTTTATCACCAGTACCATGTGAGGGGTGTTATGGGTTATGGGTTATGGACTCCTCCAGGGCGAGCAGAGGCAAACCGGACTTTGCAAACAGCAAAATATTCTTACTCTGGACCCAGTGTTAGGGCACACCCACACTGGTAGGACTGTAATTACGGTCGGATGCATGCGGATGCGGCTGTAATTGGGATCAAATACATCCAGGAAAGTCCTAGTGTGAGTATGCCTTTTAAGGCCCCATCATTGCCTGCTCATACACGGGCGATGTGGGCTTCAGAGCCCCCGAATAGAACGCACGGTCATTATAGCTGTATTTGGCACAATGTTCAGTCTAGATACAGCGATAATGAGCATGCGTTCTATTCGGGAAAAGAAAAGACAGTATCATTTGATCGAATGTGGGCTGCAGAACCCCCCCAAAACTAGCTGCTCACAACCGCGCTCTGTGGTGACCTGGCTGATGTTCGGCTGCCACCGTCCCCCGACTAGAACACACGGTCACTATAGCTGTATTT